AATACTCAACGTCACATCAGCAATATTTCAGCCATTAAGATTTATGTCCGTTACTTAACATGTCGTCAAAGGACAGTAAAACAAAAGAATCAGTGAGTTATTATTTACATCAACAATATCAGCGATAACGTGAAGAGATAAATTTGACATTGATAAGGGACAACTTTTATACAAAAACCTGTCGTCAATAGACAAGAAGTACTGATAATAAAGGATCACATCAGGTATACACATTCGTTGTCCGTGTTTCGTTAAGCCGCAACAGCATCTTCGCAGCTCTTCGCGGATAGCGTACATGTAGTCCAGCTCCAGCATGTTACAGACATAAACGCATGATGATGATATGCTGGGAAGAATACGATATACGACGCTATTAGCAGTGATTTATGATGACATTAGTGATATTACATAGTCACAGAATGTTATAGAAGGAAAACATCGGAAGTTATGGAATGAAACATAAAAGTGTTTTCAAGCCTGTTACACGATTCAAGAACTCGAAATTGAATACTATTTTATCAATGAATACGCAATGCCATTTTAGAAATTGGTCAAATGTAACATATGTTATATTTGCAAAATAAATGTTAGTCGGGCCTGTTTGGTCAGTATTCATTAACACTGGAAGCCGAGGGTTGTAAGGAAATACATAGAACTGCAAAGATTTGAATTTCGTCAATTTAAACACACCTGTATATCAAGTAGTTTGTTGAAGTCAGGTATGAAAAAGTAATGCACGCCATTTAGAGCACCTGGTTGCAGCAGCGTTGTGATGCAGATGGAGATGAGGAGGACGTACGGCAGCAGCGCGATCACGTACACAGCCTGCAGGGAGGGACAGATCAAGTTATTGGACATGCTGTGACCTTCATGGCATCTATATTATCTGGATTACGAAAACTTTGGATTATGTATTAGCTTGTGAATCTAATATTATTTACATTAAATATAACGGATATTTACACACAACAGCTAGTAAGTAAGTGAGTGAATATGGTTTTATATATATTCCTGCAATGTCACGGTAGGCACCAGAAATTGGCTTCACATATAGTACCCATATAGGGGAATCGAATCCGGGTCTTTGGCCTTAACCACTTGGCTATCCTACATAACTCCATAATCAAATGGATCATTGATGTGGGATAGTTCTTTCGATTGCTAATGCAAATGAATTTGTTTCGGTAGATAAATCCCAGTTAAAACCATTGTATCATGATACATAATATTATGATACAGATACCTGCCAAGATATTGCGATAGGCACAAACAGTGACTTAATATTTAACGTCACATCGGCAATGTTTCAGCCATATCGTGACGAGAATAATTTTGACGTTGATAGAAAATATGTGTATGTTACAAAATCTGTCATCAAAGGACAGTGACAAACTAGATTATCACAGTAAGAATTGAAAGTAGTGTCTTTACTTATAATAAATATCATTTTTTGGACAAAACAAACTAAAAACAGGCTATATATCGCCAACAACTGAAGGTAGATCACCATACTGGGGACCATGGGGACTTACAGTACCTTTGTTACCTGCATGGACCCTAGCTGTATTTACACCATCCCATCAGCCGCTGGCGATGGTAGGAAAACTGAGCCATAATTTAAAAAAGGAAATATTATACGATTAAAAAGCTTGGTAGACCTAAATTGACTTAAAAGTTTGGGGACCGGCACAGATAAATTGGACAGCTCGTTCGGGACCAACGATCTCACTGAGTGATACTGGTAGTAAATCAAAGTGGGAGTGATTGACATCAGGAGCATGGGTGTACACAGTGTCGTTGAGCCTGACAACCCGATCCTCCCCTAGTGACTTCTTGCGACTAGCGAGTCAGCACAGTAAGCTTAGGGAACTTATGTCTTGTTTCCTGTTGAACAAAGAACTCGTGTACAGTTTGTAAATAGTGAGATCTGAACTTTGAAAGGATCTACCCGTATCTGAGTGGATGTTGTGTGGAATAGTAGGCTCGGGAATCAGTGTATTCAATACTAAAAGGGAGGGTTACAGATGTTATCAGTGATATGAAGAATTTCTGTGAACATTACCTTACCAACAGACTTGACTCCACGAATAAGACATAAAAGATTACGACAGTTGAAAACAAGAGAGACATCCAACTGTGTGCCACTGCAGAGACCCCACATCCTCCAAGCCTGTTGAGACACCAAGGACATTGTAGCTGAAAGCCAAACACAGGGTATGAAATGTGACAAGAATCCAATGGTATGATGAAGGGAGAAACCTACTAATTACTTTTGCCATCTGGAGAATAGAAACTACACAAACAAACTTATTAATTCTTTTATTATTGATACTGGTTATGAAATAACAGACGGAGAAACAATAATGAATGAACAGAATATTTTTAAGAAACATTGTATAAATCAAGTAATGTAATCGATGACGAGAGTAAAGCTGTATTCCAAACTATTGCCCTCCTCCTTCCTTAAACAAGACCGATCAGATGAATTAGAGCGTGAAATACTTCTCGAGGAACTTTCACTTGCTGTTAATATGAAAAACAATAAAAGCCCTGGCCTAAATGGTTTCCCCATAGAATTCTTTAAGCTCATTTTGAAAGTGATCACGTGTATAAAGAATCAATTTAATGCGAAAGACTCAGGATGGCTGATGTTAAAACTTTTATTGATTCATTAAAATCCTGTTTGAAGAGATACGTTTTAAAATCAAACTGCTAGAGACTAGCCGTTTTCTAATAGAACACATCCTTCGGTTAGGAGCGAAGTCATTCAAACAACTGGACACCCAAGCATAACAAAAGTATTGCTATGTTCCCTTGGAATGATCGTTATTAAACTTACTAAAGGATCAAAGAACATTTTACGATAGTCTCATATCTAAATCCAGTTTTCTAAACGTATGCGATAAATGGGAAAGTGAATTAAACGATCATATTTATTAGAAGACCATATGTGTGCAATATAGACCTTTCAAGACATGTACACAAAGCTTTTGGATTTCCAATACAAATTTACACATAAAGTTATTTATACAAAACGAGAGTTATTTAAAATCAACTTCAAACCATATATACATATATATATATACATTCTTTTTAAACAGGGCACCATATTGTCGCAAAGAATCTTTATGCAGGAAACGTATTTCGACAAAGCGTGTCCTGATAAAAATATCATGATAGATATATCGTACTGCCAAAACTCCTCCGCAGGTGTGTGAGCTAGAGTCACATTTTCCCACTTTTCAGATTTGGTGATGGTATATGACGTATTCCTTGCATGGGCTGTCTTGTTACTGCTGTACGTTGTATTCACGTAGTCAATACACAGGTCAGTGTTCCAGCTGTTGCCACAAGTTGTCCAGGGCAGGACGCTTGAGCAGGACTTCACCATGTAGTAGATGGGCCAGGCCAGATACAGGTTGTAATAGGGCATGTATGCAAATGCAACAACAACAGCGCCAACACCAACTCCTGGTTGTCGATACAACAAAACCCCAATTACACGCCTTCTTCAGGAACAAGAATACAGTATATATATATATATATATATATATATATATGTGTGTGTGTGTGTGTGTGTGTGTGTGTGTGTGTAACAACATATGTTATATTTAGGATTAATCCCAAACAGAACATATGCTACATTTGACAACTTTCTAAAAGGCATTGTGTTTTCATTATATCTGCTGGAAAACGCAACATGTCGAAGGCATGCAAATTTAAAACGTCAACACAAGGTAATATCCTAACCATTTACTTTATTTGTCCCCCAAACTGATTGCATCAGGCGTTAAAGGCCACACAGTCGAGACAATTGTGGGAATGGATCACTGAGAATAAGGTGAGTGAGTGAGTTAAAACGTAACGTCACATCGACAATATTTCAGCCATATCGTGAAGAGAACACATTTGACATAGAAACGGACTACATTTATACTATAAAACATCCAGTGAGCTGCAAACAAGTGGTAATAAGGGGATCACATCATGTATACACATTCAACACACAAAATATATAATCCAAGATCATACGTGATTATCAAAAACATTATGAAATGTAACTTCAAAAGATGGAAATAAAAAATAATATATAAACATTATATATTTGTCTCAAATGTTAATTCCTTTCATTAGTATATAGTATACACGTTCATATCAAATAGAATTGTCACTGACCTTTAAACATGGGACAGAAGCTCCAGACTTGTTTGGCAGCCTTTCCCGAATACTGAGAGATGGTCGCCTCCACAAAGAATGATGGGAACCCGGTGGTGACCAGGATTAAGACGAAGGGTATGAGGAATGCTCCTGGGGAATATGTAGTCACGTGTTCAAGTAATAACAGAGTTCCAAAGGATAATTTGTCATTGATTACAATCGTAAGTGACGAAAAGCAGAATGTGAAAAAGAAACACTTGATTAAAGTGCTATTTCACTGGGTGGGTGGGGTAGCCTAGTGGTTAAAGCTGAAGACCCAGATTCGATTCCCCACATGAGTACTATCTGAGTTAATAAGACTCTTCCAGGTTATATGCATTACATCCATGAACTTAAGCTAGGCCTTCCAACTGAACATGCCTTGAGATTGAGAAGGTATGTTACAGATACGAAGTTTCCATAACAGCAGGGCACAATTCGCTTTGCAGTGTAGTCTACCTTGGTCATACCGGGTTCCCCCTTCAAGTTAACAATGTATCCAGGTATCTCCTGCGCCATTCCTGTATTCCACATCAAGCTGACACGTCGTTATATGAAGGAACACTGTTTCATCAAGCATAGCGTGGGAATTCAAGACCTGAGACAATACATTTTTTTCAAAATGACTTTATTTGCCTGTTTATTGGATAGTGTGTGTGTTTCCAAATTGTGTCACACATCATACAGGTCTAGCCATTTGCTGTCTCCAAGAATCATAAAACATAACTTACATATATTCTTACCTCCACCGTTCCTGTTGCAGATGTAGGGGAACCTCAGTAGCTACCATAAAAATAGGATGTGTTTAAGGCCCCATTTTAGCGATCGCATACATTCAGTTTAATCAGGCCCCTCCCATAAGAGGGACTCCATTAAGAAGTAGACTAACCTTGCGGCAATGTTGGTCTTCAAACACATCCACCTCTTATTCATCAGAAATAACGTGGGAATTCAAGACCTTACACTTTACAGCTTTTCCCAAATGGCTTCATGTACATGTTTATTGGATCGTGTGTGTGTGTGTGTGTGTGTGTGTGTGTGTGTGTGTGTGTGTGTTTGAAATATGTTATTGATTATACAGGTATTGCAATTTGCTGTCTTGCTAATCCTTTGCAATATCCTATAATAACCTACATATATTCTTACCTCCACCGTTCCTGTTACAGATGTAGGGGAACCTCAGTATATTCCCTAATGCAACACAGTAGCCAACCATTGTCAGCATGTAGTCCAGATGTCTGCTCCATGATTCTCTCTGTGGTGTGGGCTCACGTCTGTCTCCTCCTTTACAATGTAACTCTGTCATTGGAACTCCTGCATCACTGTCCTCCTTGCTCGCCATGGCTAAAACTGATATAAAGCAAACATGATATGTTTGTACTTAATGTTATTGAAAACAGATAACTATACGCAAGATTTATTTTGATAGTAACATAATCTATGACCAGTGGAACATATATTGCAAGTAGTGATCACCGTTTATGACGTTTCTCTCACACAACTGTTTGTAGAATGAAATTCCCTTCTTTGACCTGTACCATCCGCTCCGGTGTGAGCAAATGACTAGAATTTGCAACCGGTTATGCCTGGCACAAGCGATTTATTGATATTCTACCATGACATTTAGAGTATGTTCGTTTTTGATTGGCTGTGACTAACAATTAGAAGTGAAAAAGTTTCAAATACCGCTTCTGAGAGCCGGTTCACTGCGCGTAGGAATATTTTGCACTCATTTACCCTTACAAAGGTAAACAAACATGTCGTCTGAAACTGTTACGTTTGACCTCGGCGATTTCTTTGATGTGTTTGGATCGGATATGGATGAAAATATTGATCCTGCGTGGTTCCAACATGAAAGGACTAAACAGTCACACAAAGTAACTCTAAGTACCGAAGGTATGAGTATGTAAACGTCATAATGTCCAGTTTCTAAGAGTCGTAGTCTAGGCCAAAACACGACGCAAGGGTAATGAGCGCATATTTATAAAGAGTTTTATTCATGGTGCATATGTCAAGGTAGAATGGAGATAATTCTGTTGTTTTTACATTTTGGAAGTGATTATAGTTGGTTGAACGCTTTTAAATGACATTTAGCAGCGTTCAACCAACAACAATCATTTCTAAAATGTAAAAACAATAGATTATCTCCTAAGTAATTCATAAACACATGCTAATGATAAACGTGTACAGTCGACTCGATATCAGAGACATCGTATGGATGTGGGTTTTGTCGCTTTGTTTATTTGAGAATGGTTTATTGAGTGTTCTGTAATGCCACATACTTGTTATTTGAATTGTATTATTCCTGTAATGGCGTAGCAGCTGGTTAACGATAATTATAAAGTAGATAACCCTTCCAGAGTCAGTATGCGATATATTTCAGAAATGTCGGTTATAGGTGACCTAAATGGCAACTGTATATAATATCTGCATTCCTTCATACATAATGGAAACTCGATGTCGCGTGTGTGTTATTTGTGCGTATTGTACTACTGCATGTGACATGTAGAGGTGTTTATAAATAAGTATAACATAACTATAACATACCCAAATGGTGGTCTTGGTGTTATTTTTCTTGTCAGATAAATGCTGATATGGAGGATGGAATGTACTGCTAAATGCTGGATTAGAGGTATTAGAGCGAAGTTTGGGGATATATTGTAAAGCCAGTTGTATTCGTCTTAAACTAAGACAGGGTCTCGACATACAGACTGTGAATTGGCGAGGTCCTAAATCCTCCAAGACACAACCAGAAGTCTCTGGTGGTGAATGATTTACGAGCTGAACAATAAACGAAGCAACCATAATCGAGTTTTGATCTGATCAAAGTTATGTTGATATGCAGAAGCGTTTCTTCATCTTCACCCTATTTAGCATTTGATACCACCTTCAAGATATCCAGTGCTTTCAAACATCAAGCTTAAAGGTATTTAATATGAGGTATAAAGGACAACGTTTGATCAAAGGTAAGTTAAAAAAATGGCTTGGGTGGAATATTATTCAAAGCCAATTCTGGATCTTTATCTAGTTTCCGTTTTTGCAAAACTGAATACAGCCTGTTTTGGTTTTGGAAAACTTAAAACCGTTCTCCGAAGGCTATTTATGTATTGTATTAGGGCAAAGTTGCAATTATCTTCTAAAGGTCCAATGCTCGTATTGCTGAGCGGTGGTCCCGTCTGGAAGTACACAGACTGAAGCTGAATGAATCAAAGTGTGAAAGTCTTCTCGTTGGTTCTCAGGATAGAAGGGTTCAGGCAGGAATCCGTGAATTCCACTTTGTCGGCTGGGGTCAAGAATATCGGGTCACTCTCAACTCTGATCTTTCACTCGAGTGTCATGTCAACAAACGTACCAAAACCTGCTTTCTTGTCCTCAGGAATATTGGTAATGCTCGCAAGTGCCTGACAAAGAACTCTACTGCCACATTGGTCCTGGCGTTAATTGTGTCACGTAATTATTGTTATTGTAATTTCCGTCTGTATGGAGAAACTAAACAGCAGCTTAACAGCTTACAATGGGTTCAAAATGTTGCAGCAAGGATAGTTAGACTGACTGAGAAATCAGAGCACATCGCTCCTGTTCTCCATAGCCTTCACTGGGTCCGTATAAACACCGTATCACCTACACATTCCTTTGTCTTGTCTTCCAGTCTTTGTCCGGTCAGGCTCCTACCTACATAACTGATCTGATTAAACACCCACATGCCAGCAAGACCTCTACGTTCACAAACCAAAGCCCTGCTCCATGTCCCCATGGTAAAAACATCCTGCTATGTGGAGAGAACATATTCAACCACTGAAGCCTGGAGCTTTCTGCCCCAGTTCCTTTAAAGAATCATTGTCATCGTTTAAGACCGAACTCAAGACCTTTTTCTGTTCAGACTTGCCTTCTCTGTGTAACTTCTGTCATCTCCTCTCGGACATGTGGGCTTAGAGCATGTAGTGTGCATGGATTCAGCGCGTTACAAGTGGACTATTATTGTAAAATCAGGCATACGACCTCGAAGACCCATATCATGGAGGTCTCTCAAAGTACCACATGTCCATGTTATGTCATATGCCTCCTCTAAATAAAAAAAAGAATGGAACAAGATGGGTTTTTTTTATTTCTAAAACCAATGCGTACAAATGATTCCAATATAATGAGATTTTCAATGGTGCTCCTCTGATGCCTGAAACCAGACTGAATATCAGTTATCATTATTGGATTCCAGGTACCAGACAAGATGCCTGTCGATCAAGCTTTCCATGGTTTTACAGATGCATCTTGTTAAATAGAAGTGACAAAATACTTTCACACCCATTAAAAACCTCTGCTAAAATCAGTCTATTGTAGAATTGTGACTATCATAGGCATATATTACAGCTGTAGGGTGTTGACTGTAAACAAATCGAGTTAGTAGACAGGATAGAGTGCGGGATCAGGGTAATCTAAAGCTTCATTTAATAGATGAAGCCTTAGTCAGACCCCTTCCATTACCATCTACTACAAAGCTATATTTCATAAAATAAGACTTTAGTCGGGGACGCTACTATAGCGGGCGTTGGTATCTTGCCTCTATGTCGTGTTGACAGGAGGTAATACTGTGTCATACGGTATGATTAATAATTCTTCTCTTACAAATCCTCTGCCGGGGCCATCCCTCAAGAAATACAAGGTAGGTTCGTCTGCTTTCATATCAACTTTATCTATGTTGTAAGTTTTGACTGACCATATCGGATCTGTGGCTCGCTTACGGCTATCCCCTTCGTGTTCCCCCGGCTGGTATAGGTACCTCACGAGCGCCCTATCTGGTATCTGTTTCTCCTTCCCACGCAAAGGAGCGGCCGGCTCTGCTGCTATCGATTTTAATTTTATAGCGTCTGCCGGCTTTTTACCGGTGAGACGAGTGACTTCATGGTTGATTGCCGACACCACCTTAGGTAACCTCGTGACCCATTCAGTCGATCGTTTTCCAGGGGTGGCCATCTCTCTAGCATACTGGTGTCCAAATAAACGCTCAGCCAAAGTCCTATTAAATCTCTCAACTATGGCTTGGCTGCGATGGGCTCCGGCCGTGCCACGCTGACCTTTGTATTGTGTGTTTGGCTAGCAGCTGTGACCGCGGCACCCATGAACTCCGCCCAGGGTCAACTTGGAGCTCTGATGGCCATGTCAACGGACTGCGTTTGTATATGCGTTCAATGGCTTGAGCCACCAGATTCGAATCTTTCGTGGTCAATGGTTCAGCTTCCTTATACCGGCTGGCTACATCTACGATAGTCAGAGCATACTTGTAGGTTTCGTCTCACCCTGTCGTGAGGTAGGAACAGCAGGTCTGCTTGGTGAGCGTTATTAGGTATGTTAATACCAAACTTCCTTCTAGGCACATAAGCGTGGTGGTGGTAAATATATCTGCCAAAGTGCTTGTTTTCAAGCCATGTTTTGACCTCCTCGGGGATACTCGAGTTATTTTAGCCAGCTTATCTACAGCTAGCTCCTTTCCAATACCCGCGCGGACTGTAGTAAATAGCCTCAAACTTTTTCTGGTTCCGTGACATGTCACCATTTATTTATACCTATGTTCTTGGTTCAATTTTCTCATGCCCGTGCAGCGTGCGTGTTTATCCCATCAATGGCTATCAGCGTTTGGTATCCATAGGGGATAATGATGTTTTATTTATAGTCAGCCCGTATATCCTATGCCCATCACTTCTAAGTGTGTTCATTTTATGTTTAAAGGTGCGGGTCTTGAACAGGGCTTCCTTGAATCTGGCGTGTTTGATGTGTTGTTTCACCACGTACTTTTTACACCCTTAGCTTTCGGATCTCACCATTGTCGGCCTTCAGTATGGAGTACATCTTAGGCCTCAACCCTATGTACTTTCGACTATGGGCGTGCCAGCACACTCGTCCTTCATCTTACCTAGGACCTTTTTATTCACCGTGCTGTGTATGGCATGGTCCTTGGGGTAGTCGCTGGTGTCATTACAAATCGAGGTGTTTTTCATGTCCTCATTACCGTCCTCGGTTCGAATCTCCATCAGCAGGGAATCCGTGTCAGTATATAGCACTTCACACCTGTCATCGTACTGTTTCTTCAGCTCGTTGTAGTAAAAAATCATACATCAAGTGTTTGGATAAATCGAGGATGCTCATCCCAAGCGTAAACAGGCGGTTTAATATTATGTGACTTTTCTTCATGTGTATGGCAGCCAGGTGGATTATCGAATATCTTACTACGGTTGAATGCAGGGTTAGCGATCAGCTTCCTGAGTTTTCCTCCTCATTCGACCGAACCAGCTTCCGTCCGCAGCGTTTCCTCAGGTTCTCCATCGTCTTACCGAATACCGAGTTGTTCAT